TACCAAGCCAAAGCTACCTAAATAGCATGCAAAACTCAGTTTTACAGCAATCTACTAGACACTGGTTTGTAAAAACTCAACCAGCCTTGCTCTAAAAGCTCCTCTGCTTTACAGGCCAGCAGCCCAGATATTTGTGGTCATTCTGTACTGCTGGTATAACCTGGAGGTAAAGGTGTGCTCATGTTTTCCCTTCTCCTTTGGTCAACTCCTTGTTAACAGAGCAGATAAGACCAGTATTTCCCAGGTGGAACACAGCGTCAGCCTCTCCATCCGCAATTTCCTTAGATCTCAGCAGTGAAACTTGGGCTGTACTTGGAAAGGACACAAAGCAAAATGCAGTCATTATCAGCTTGGTCTCTGTGTTACATATCCCTAGTTACAAAGCTGATTCAGAGCTATTGGCAGACTCCTTGCTGAGCTGTAAGGACAAGTGTGGACAAGTTTCTGAGCTACTAGCTTGGGGCAATTTGGCTTTAGGGCTTTGCTGTATCAGGGCAGATGCCCACCCTCCTTGGGTCAGAAGCTAACCTCCCAGCTGGCAGAACTAAGCTCAAACTTCTACACAACTCAAAGCAGGCAGAGGATGACACTGCTGGGAACACTGACCTTCGTGGTCCTTAAAAACAACCAAGCCAATACAAGGTACAGGTAGTCACACAATGACAGGGAAAATGGGGAGTATCAGCACAAGAGGAGTACAACATAGAAGAAGAGTAAGTGCTTGCAAAATGCCTTAAGAGCAGCTTTACATGGAAAGTGACTGCTTCTGAAACAGTTTAAAAACGTAGCCCCTCCCAAACATGGATCAGCTACGAGTAGCTTATTGGAAGTAGGTCTCCTGTCAAGGCCATTGGGATGGCAGCATGCTGCAAGAAGCAACTCGTTCCTTGGAATGTAAACCCCGACTGCACACACATACTGTAGATTAACTCATGTCATCAGGGTTTCTTAACTGCTCTGTCCTCAGTGTGAAAGGTTTATCCTTAGCCAGGCATTCCTCAGAAAGGTCTACAATGCAGAGTTCCTGGAAAGCTGAGCCTCTTTTCAGCAGGAAGAAAATGGATGTTGTGCTGCCAGCCTCAGGACAGGAGCTACCACTAGTTCCTCACACACACACCCCACACCCCCACACCCCCAGTCTAAAAGAATGAGATTAGCTTCTGTTGTCCCTGCATCCCAAATATCCCTGCTCTGTTTTCTTATGAACTTTCAAGATGCGCAGAAAACAGACAGAGGAACGAGCCTTGTTTGAAAGCTTTGGGAGATAGGAAGAGCTCCATTTCTTTTTTATGCAATGACAGGGTTATCAAAGTTGCAGACACTGGAGGTAATGGTAGAGGCAGGTTGAAGCAACACTTGAATACAGCCAGCGCTGGAGAAACCAAGAAGAGCAGGGTCACACTTGAGCTGTGAACCTGGGGTCCTGAAAGACATGGGGAAGTATTATCACGCTATTTCTCTTTGTGGAGAGAAATTTGTCCTTTAGATTATTAGGGTATGGGTTTTTTATTATTATTAGATGAAAGCTATAGATAAAAAAAGGTAAGATAGAGTACATTACTCTGAAATGCTTTGAAATAAGTCAGTAGTGCAGTCCTAATCTGAAATCCTGTGGTTAGTTCTCATTGCTTCACATTAGAAGGACACAAAAGGAGTTAGTGGCACAAAAAGGATTCTTAAAAAGGTGCAGACAAGTCTTTGCCTATATAGCAACAAAAAACATTAAGAACATCCACAGAATTATTGGGAAATGGTTTCATATTTAAGTATAACTAAAATACTGCAGTTTGAGCTCTATCCTCAGAACTCAGGAGTTTGCTTTGGATTTAAAGTGCTCCCCAAGAAGGCAGGTGAGTGAGAATTAAGAGCTCAGTGAGTGGGATTCCCACCTTAAACTAGTGATGTTACCGTGCTTCAGACAGAAGCCATGCAGTAACTTCAAGAAAGATGAGCCAGGCACTGTCTGACCAGACTATTTGCTAGACATGCTTCTAAAGCCTTAGACAGGGCATGTATTGGTGTCCACCGATTTCATCTGATTTAGCAGTTCCAGTGCTGTGGTTAACAGAACAGAAAACAGAAGTATAATCTACAGTACAAGCCTGCTGTATTAACAAGCCTAAGTAAGAGAAAACCTCCCGTGTGAAGACAGGCTGAGAAAGTTGGGGCTGTTCAGCTTGGAGAAGAGAAGGCTGCGCGGAGACCTCATAGCAGCCTTCCAGTATCTGAAGGGGGCCTGTAAGGATGCTGGGGAGGGACTTTCCATTACAGACTGTAGTGATAGGACAAGGGGTAACAGGTTAAAACTTAAACAGGGGAAGTTTAGATTGGATATAAGGAAGAAGTTCTTTACTGTAACGGTGGTGAGGCACTGGAATGGGTTGCCCAGGGAAGTTATGAATGCACCATCCCTGGCTGTGTTCAAGGCCAGGTTGGACAGAGCCTTGGGTGAGATGGTTTAGTGTGAGGTGTCCCTGCCCATGGCAGGGGGGTTGGAACTAGATGATCTTAAGGTCCTTTCCAACCCTAACTATTCTATGATTCTATGATTCTAAAATTCAGGAGAGGAGATATGTAGTAAGCAAGCATTCCGACTAATAACTTACGGGGGTTATTTGACTACTTAATTTTGACCACTTAAATTTCAGTGGAGCACAAACATCTGCAATTTCTTACTAGCTTGAAGACAGATGAGACCACAAATGGAAAGAAGGAATGGTTGTAAGAGAAAACAGGTACTGGCTTATATGAAATTGTATAATTTACATCGTGCATTCTGCAGCAACTGTGAACCTCAGCTATACCCCATGCTAAAAGCCCATTTCAGTGTTTTGTTTTGAATGCTGCTATATTGCCCCTGCCAGGACTAATTTGTATTCCTGGATCCTAGATGCTTTGGAAAAGAGGGTTAATTATCTTGCCTTTTTAATAGCTGCTGGCTCCCTGGCACATTCCTGCAGGAGCACTCATTCCCTTGCATGAAGGCTCACTCAGTCTGCAGCTGCTCCAGGAACACCAGAGAAGGAAGAAGTTAAATAAATCATGCCAGAAATTAAGACCTCACATCAGCAGCTGCAACAGTCAAGAGGAAGAGCAGAGAACCCACCTGAATTTAATGCATGGCTCTAGTCCAGGGAGCTGGCTGTGAAAGACCAGAAGTGGAAGGCTTGGCACAGGACAGATACCAAAGCTTTCTTGAATACAAGAAAAGGGACTGATGTTATTTCCTTTAGAGGAACATGACCAAAGCACAGCACAAGTAATCTGGCTGCATTAGGTTCCTCCACATCCTGTGGGAACTACAATCCTCAGGGAAAGAAATCTTCTATTTTTAACAGGGAAAGATTATTAAGCATTAGCAGACTTAACATAAATACTTTGTTCTTTTAACTTGTTGATGTAACTGTTTGGAAATGTAAGCTCTTCACCCTTTATCAAATCATATACTTCAGCAATTCAACTTGGGGGGGGGGGGGGCTCATAATCCCAAACAGCTCTTTGTTTCAGCTTATCTCAGACTATGCCCTCACCAGCTTTTGTATGGAGCCCAAATGGCATGCTAGAAACAGCACATTACCATGTGAGCACAACTGCTGACCCCCCTCCACAAGTGTCAGTTTTAATGGTGCAGCTGAGAAGATACTGTCTTACTACTCACTTACCATGCATAAGATATAGCAGGTAAGGGGAAAAGAAGGAAATCCCTTGTTTTACAGATGAAGGAGGACACCAAGCATTTTTCAACTCAGACTTCTCTGCTGAATACTACTGACATTTTCCACATTCCCTTTCTACTCCTAGACCATTGCTTACAGAAGCAAAAGTAGACTGAGAAGAGCCTAAATTAATTTAAAACGTGGTCTTAACAATTAAGAACAAAAACAGCACAAGCTAGAAGAAATGAAGGAAGTGAAAAACACCTCACTTGTAAGACACGATGGCCTTAGGTGAGATCCTGCATAACCCATCACTTCATCCAGCTGCAGTCTGCGAAAGAAATGCAGGTCTAGCGAACTGTCTCACCCCTTGTTCCTCAGTGCCTTCCTTCCAGAGGTCTTGCAGCACCACATGTCCTTCGCTTGGACAGGATTCTCCATTTGCTCTTGAGTTTCACAACAAATAAGGTCACACAACATACTTTTCTGTTGCTCTTCAGTAAGGCCCTTCTCACTGAGCTTAGAGCAACACAACCTATGATGCAGGACAGCACCACAGTATCAGCAGCTAACAAACACATTGGACGCACTCTGTGGAGCACCAGACTGCTTTTCCCTTTACACTCTTCCCTTTCTTTGGGACTGGTGCTACCACAGGACCCAAATCAACAAGGTTTGTTTCCTTAAGGATGACACATTTTTGTGAGAGGGGACCATCAGCTCTTCTATAAGAACATGTCAGAGCATTGCTTGGTCACAGCACCAAACACGCACACTGATACATGCAACCACTTCAAGGCATGTTTTCACAGGACTCTGAAGTTACCTTTTATACACCAGATATATGAAGGTGGGAGGCTCTCAACTGCAGCACAGCCACATGTCATTTAAGGTCAAAATCAGAACAATGGTATTTTGTGCTTTAAGAACTCTCCACAGGAAGCTGAGCCCATAACTAGTGTTTTATTTTCCTGTGCCTTTTTGCACATTATTTATGGCCAAAGCAATGCAAATGCAAACAAGATTATTTTTGAGATTATTACCACCACTGTAACTGCCAGAACAGAATAAACCAATAGGCTGGGGAGACATGAAAACCTGGAATGGGTGAAAAAAAAACAGTAGGAGCTACAGATGTGAGAATACAAGGTATTTCCAAAAGAGGACACAAAAAGATGTTCAAACACATCCCAGAAGTGGAAAAAAGAAAACAAATTTGACCAAGTGTGTTCATGTTGCCAGACTTCGACATATTATTTCACAGAAGAGCCTGCATGTCTCCTCCTAAGCAATCACAGCATTCAAGCAAGTTCAAGTGCTGTTCACAAGAAAACACACAGCAGGAAAAGGAGCAAGTTGCATTTAATTACAACAAAAAGGGTTTCAGCCAGTTACAAGCCAGCTTACCCCAAATGTTATCCCTTACTAAAAGACAGACTTTGTGACACCACATGAAGTTGTATCACTCCTTTCATAGAGCAGGACACCCAAACACTTCCTGAATGTTTTTTTAAATCTTTTCTTGTATCAGCCTAGCGATACACTCTATCTTGCTGTGGCGGTATAGAAAGTCAAAAAGCAACTATTCCCACTTCTTGCATATAAGGAAAAATAAATATAAACAAGGATTAAAGTATCATGAGAGAAGATGAGCAGATTCTGCCTCAATATATACTTATGTCCAATGGAGGATGATCAATTATAAAAAATAAACTTGGAAACAAACCAACAAACAAAAAAATCCAAGACAACAAACAGTGGAACAGACACAAAGATATTACAGTGTGAATGCCAGGTGCTTAGAAGCAGGGAATGTGCATAGCAATGTTCATTACTTTGCTTGTATGGCTTATGCAAAAGAGACAGGAAAAACTGCACTGAGAGACCACAATGGTTTAATTTTAATCTAACAAGTACAGTAATACCACTGCCAAGTGACAGACAAACTTCCCTCCCCTTGGAGCCACTAGGTCTTCATCTACACAACTGTTCTGGCTCTATTCTGAAGAGCATGAGTATAGGTGAACACACACCTCATGTGGAAGGAGGAGACCACCCTCATTCCTCCCTGAGGACAAGCATCCTTTCCTGCAGGCCCAAGAGAAGACATTATCTTCTTTTTACAGCAAAACACCAACAAGAAATCTTTCTTGTTCTCAATCATCTTACATGCATAAGATGATTATTTTAAGGAAAAAAAAGCTTGAACAATTTTTCACTCTCCTCTCTTTCCCATGTGCACAGGCTACTCATTTTGCATTTAGGACTTCCAGCTGGTAACAAGTTCTCTCAGATACACCTTGAATTAGTTTGTCCTCTATTTGATCTGGGCAGCCACACAAAAGATGCCTTTCACCTGAACATCTTAGGCACTAAATGCTGTGATCTACTGAAGACACTGATAGATTAAAGTGCTTTTTTTGTAAAACCTGAATGCTTTAAGGGTCACTCATCCTACATCCCAAACTGGACCAACAGATAATATACTATTTTTAATGCCCAACTACAAACAACTTGACTTCTTAAACTACATTAATACAAATAGCAATGCAAGTTACAATGGAATTAACAGGTTTCCACAGAACATTCAAATTGATGGAAAAGAAATGAGTGATTAGGAGAGACACTTTACAGCTGAAACTCTAGGCAGCAGAAAACATTTCACTAGCACCCAGCATCTCTGTTGTCAAGTAATGAGATATGGCACACAGCCTTCTATGCTAAAGCTCTCCGGAAGCAATTTCTGGGGGAAAGCACTGAGGTTGAAAGAGTATTAGCAGTGCCCCTAAAATGCAAGTCAGTTTGCCACCTACCAGACAAGAGGCTAAGGTTATTCCAACCCTGTGCAGAAACAGCTGCCAAAGAGCAGCTGTTCTCCAGTTCTCTGTTCAGCCATCTAGGAAACCTGATCTGAATACCTGAAATACTCATTACCTGAAGCATGAACGAAATGGAGGTAGACAGGGCAAAAATGAATCATTGTTGATAAGAAAACCCGAAGGACAGCTGACACGTGATCCCTTGTATGATACGGTGTAATTGCCTTGAAATTAAGAATCTGGAAAATTCAGTCTGTATTTAAAGACGTGCAATGCCCACACTGTGTAAACATATCGCAACACAATCTCTTAAGGACAAGCATACTGCACAAATAGTCTTGCTTAAAGGATAGATATGGATAAAATCCATAAAGACAGAACAAAGAGCTTGTATGACAAAACATAAAGTATCTGATAAACTAACTTCTCTCTGATCATTACAAGCAGAACTAAAAAAAGCCCTGAACACTTTGCTGCAAATTCAGAAAGAGGAGCAAACACAGGGCCTACAACAGCTCACAGAATTCCCCTGCTTGGAGTCACGTTTCTTAGGGTTTAGCTAAGACACAATTCCAGTTCTAGAAGAGAGAATGGAGGTTTTAAAGTACTGGGACAAAGCAAATCATCTTTCCCAAAGTGAAAGATTTTTCACCTCAATTTCACATCATGTAATTAGTTCCATTATCTGAATCAGATCTAGACTGCCTTAGTTTAAATGAGGCTAGCCAAGTCTACTCATCCTGTGAATTCTTTCATGGTCAAAACAGATGTATAAGATCAATCAGACAAAAGAAAACATCAAATTAACTGTCCGGGTATGAGAGAGTATGGTGGGGCTTGCTTTTTGTTTTAACTGGTTTTACCACCTTTGTTTCTATTGTGATCAATCTTCTCACATATCCAACTTTTACCATTTACTATGTCATAACCACTATTTAAAAAAAAAGTCAAGAGGATATGTTAAATACCAAAGATTTAAGTTTAAATTATGGAAAATGAGGATGAACACATTGATACAGGCTTGCAGTTTTAATTTTAAAAGGCCCCTACGGTGGGACTAGCTATAGATGGCATCATGCTAATGCAAATGGAAAATGTGTTGGGTTTAAAAGAAAAATAAGAAAACCACTTTAAATAAGCATGAATTCACACCATACACATGTACATACTTTATCTTCTACTTTAGTTTTGTTTGACTTATAAATCAAGTCTATACCACTAAAAATTCGGTATGTGCAACATTAACCTGATTAAAGCATTTTATAAATACAAGCTTTTTAGTATTGCAACATACTTCACTACTTAACATACTGAAAAACAAGTTCTACATTTAAAATTCTCATGTAATAGCTCTATCTGCCAATTAAAACTACAAATGGAAAAATACTTGCTAATCTTTAACATTATCGAAAATGCAAATATATTTCATTTCTGGAAGAAAACGATCTTGTTTATACTACTGGTGCTTCTTTAGACATTTGAAGATACTACACTAACAAAATACAAACTTTGTAGTAAGCTTACAACATGTACTTCTCAGAGGCAGAAAGAAAAAAATCTGGTTTTTGTATTTATGAAGGAACATCCATTTATTTATAAAACAAGATAAAAGATATTAGAATTAAGTTGAAACAAGGCAACATTAGAACAACCACTTAGAGCTTTGTGAACGAAGTGTAGTTTTAAACTTGCAAATCAAGGTGAATGTAGCTCTTCACATGCTGTCCTCTTCTCTATAAATGGGATGAAGTAGAGAAGCAAAGCTTCAACGTGTAAGGGTTGGAGCCATCTGTCAGAAGACAACATACAACATACTCAGGGCGTTTTACTGAGAATAACTCTCCTGCTTATCAAGATCACCATGTATAATCCGATAAATTGACCAGTTCTGTAGATTTAAGGCTCACACCTCCCCGTTTACTCCCACCAGAGGCCCACAGACACCAGATGACCTGTCAGTTAAGTGTTGATAGTCCACCAGCATTTTTTAGACATAAAACCCAAAAATGGGCAGGGCTGCACCCGGTGCTCCCTGGTGGAGGTCCTCCTGCAGCAGGGGCTGAGCTAGGGGATACTATTAATGGGCTGCAAGATGTCAGGGAAGCTGAGAGGAAGCAGGACTGCTTGCTCCAGGCCCAAACTGTGCAGGGGCCACAAGCATCCACCATAATGCATACAGAAAAGGAGAAGGGTGTTAATGCAGGAATCTGCATTAATTTTGTTAAAAACAAACAACTAAAAACAACAAAAAAGAGGAGGAAGAGGACAATTAAAAGCAAGGGGATTCTGGCAAAATCTGATGTCCCCACCCAGAACAGCTTCCTAGTTCTGCAGGGGGCTAACGAGGAAACACACACCACACCAAATGAACAACCGGCTGGTGCACTGATAAAGAGGATCACTACCGGTGCCTCCAGGGGAAAGCAGCAGGTTATAGTAGTGGGTGACACTACTCTGAAAGGCACAGGGGCACCCATCTGTCGGCCTGACCCAGTCTCAAGGAAGGTGTGCTGCCTACCAGGGCTAGGATCAGGGATGTGGCAGAGAGGCTGCCTGCTCTAGTAAGTCCCATGGACTATTACCCACTTCTAGTGATCCATGTGGTGTTACTGATATAGACAGTAGTAGCCTGGAGAACATTAAGAAGGACTACAGAGCCCTGGGAGAGGTGGTTAGGGGCTCTGGAGCTCAGATAGTTGTTTTTTTTTTCATCAATCCTCCAGGTCAAAAGGAGGACCGTGAAAAGGCTAGGTGGATTTGGCAGGTTAATAAATGGTTAGAACAGAGGTGCCATAGTCAGAGGTTAGGTTATTTAGAACATGGGACTTGATTTGGGAGGCCAGGTCTACTGGAGGCTGGCCAAGCTGCTCTAGCTGCTTTGGTAGGAAACTTGCCAGGCTGATCAAGGCAGCTTTAAACCAGATATGCTGTGGGAGAAGGGCATCGATCCACCCCAACACTCCCAGTCAGTTGCCAGCACCTATAACAAATGCTCAGAGCAAAGCAGAGCTACTTCAGCTGCTCCAGCCAACAAGTCGGCTTTATTTGGTACTCGGCTAAGATGCCTCTGTACAAACGCCCATAGCATGGGGGAATAAACAAAAGGAATTAGAGATGTGTGCATGCCTACAGGGGTACGGTATCATTGGCATCATGTAAACATGGTGGGATGGCTACGACTGGAGTGTTGGAATGGATGGTTATAGGCTCTTTAGAAAAGAGAGGCCAGGCAGATGGGGAAGGGGAGTTGCTATTTATCTCAGTGATAGCCTGCAGAATATGGATCTCTGTCTGGGGACAGGTGATCAGTCAACAGAGTTTGTGGGTCAGGGTCAAAGGAAGAACAGCAATGGGGGACATTACTGTGGGGATCTGTTACAGACTGCCTGATCAGGAGGACTCTATGGATGAAGCGCTCTATAAGCAGATAAGAACAGCCTCACGCTCACAGGCCCTTGTCCTCATGGGGGACTTCAACCACCCTGGTATCTGTTGGAGAGACGGTACGGACTGGCAGAAGCAATCCAGGAGGTTCCTCGATTGTGTGGAAGACAACTTCCTCTTGCAAGTAACAGAGGAGCCAACAAGGAAAGGTGCCATGCTTGACCTCATGCTCACCAACAGGGAGGGACTGGTTGGGAATGTGATGCTCCAAGGCAGCCTTGGCTGTAGCGATCATGAGATGGTCATGTTCGAGATCCTCAGGACAGTGAGAAGAGCGTGCAGCAAGTTCACTGCCCTGGACGTCAAGAGAGCAGACTTCAGGAACCTGCTTAGTAAGGTTCCATGTGATACAGCCCTAGAGAGCAGGGGAGCCCAAGACTTCTGTTTGATATTCAAGGATCACCTGCTACAAACTCAGGAGTGTTGTGTCCTGACTAGAAGGAAATGCAGCAGGAGGGCCAGGAGACCTCCATGGATGGTTAAGGAGCTGCTGAGGGAAACTCAGAGGAGGAAAAAAGAGGCTTATAAAAGGTGAATGTGAGGACAGGCTAAGCTGGGAAGAATGCAGGGATGTTGTCTAGGAAGCTAGGGACCAGGTTAGGAAAGCTAAGGCCCTGTTAGAATTAAACTTGGCTACAGATGTGAATGATAACAAGAAGGGATTCTATGCATATGTAGCAAACAAAAGAGACTACAAACAATGTAGGCCCTCTCCAGAAGCTATGAGAACTGGCTACCCTGGATTTGCAGAAGGCTGAGGTTCTGAATGACTTCTTTGCCTCAGTCTTCACTGGCAAAGTGAGCACATCACCCAGGTCTTGGAAGGCAGATGCAGGGACTGTGAGAATAAAGACCTTAGGCCCACTGTAGAAGAGGATAAGGTTCAAGACCACCTTATGAACCTGAACATGCACAAGTCCATGGGACCTGATGAAATCCATCCGTGGGTCCTGAGGGAGCTGGTGAATGAAGCTGCTCAGCCACTGGCCATTGTATTTGAAAAATCATGGCAGTCAGGTGAAGTTCCCAACGACTGGAAAAAGGGAAATATAACCCCCATTTTCAAGAAGGGGAAAATGGATGACCCGGGGAATTACAGACCAGTCAGTCTCACCTCTGTGCCTGGCAAAATCTTGGAGCAGATTCTCCTGGCAGGCATGCTAAGGCACATGAAAAACAACAAGGCGCTTGGTGACAGCCAGCATGGCTTCACTAAGGGGAAATCCTGCCTGACCAATTTGGTGGCCTTCTATGATGGGGCTACAGAACTGATGGACAGGGGTAGAGCAGTTGCTGTCATCTACCTGGACTTGTGTAAAGCGTTCGACACTGTCCCACACGACATTCTTGTCTCTAAATTGGAGAGACATCAATTTGACAGATGGACACTCGGTGGATAAAGAACTGGCTGGATGGCTGCACACAAAGAGTTGTGGTCAATGGCTCAATGTCCCCCTGGAGACCAGTAACAAGTGGTGTCCCTCAGGGATCGGTGTTGGGACCGGTCTTGTTCAACATCTTCGTCGCTGACATGGACAGTGGGATTGAGTGCGCCCTCAGCAAGTTTGCCGATGACACCAAGCTGTGTGGTTCGGTTGATATGGTGGAGGGAAGGAATGCCATCCAGAGGGGCCTTGACACGCTTGTGAGGTGGGCTGATGCCAACCTCATGAAGTTTAACCATGACAAGTGCAACATCCTACACCTGGGTGGGAGCAATCCCAGGCACAGCTACAGGTTGGGCAGAGAAGAGATTCAGAGCAGCCCTGTGGAGAAGGACTTGGGGGTGCTGGCTGATGAGAAAATGAACATGAGCCGGCTTCAGTGTGCGCTTGCAGCCCAGAAAGCCAACCGTATCCTGGACTGCATCAAAAGGAGCGTGACCAGCAGGTCGAAGGAGGTGATCCTGACCCTGTACTCTGCTCTCGTGAGACCTCACTTGGAGTACTGTGTGCAGTTCTGGTGTCCTCAACATAAAAAGGACATGGAACTGTTGGAACAAGTCCAGAGAAGGGCCACAAGGATGATCGGGGGGGCTGGAGCACCTCCTTTATGAAGACAGGCTGAGAAAGCTGGGGCTGTTGAAGCCTGGAGAAGCTGCATGGAGACCTCATAGCAGCCTTCCAGTGTCTGAAGGGGGCTTACAAGGATCCTAGGGAGGGGCTCTTCATTAGGGACTGTAGTGATAGGACAAGGGGTAATGGGTTCAAATTTAAACAGGGGAAGTTCAGGTTAGATATAAGGAAGAAGTTCTTTACTGTGAGGGTGGTGAGGCACTGGAACAGGTTGCCTGGAGAACTGGTAAATGCCCCATCCCGGGCAGTGTTCAAGGCCAGGTTGGACACGAGTCTTGGGTGACATGGTCTAGTGTGTGGTGTCCCTGCCCTTGGTAAGGGGGTTGGAACTAGATGATCTTTAGGTCCTTTCCAACCCAAACCATTCTGTGATTCTATAATTATCCACTAAGTTTGATTTTGCTAAAAGTGGAATTCCTGCCTTCCTTCTTTTTATCCCAAACCAATTGGTTTTTTTCACTTTCTTTCCAGAACTTTAAAATTGTGGAGCATGTTTTGAGTTCTACAGGTTGACTCAAACCCTAAGAAAAATGAATGCCATTTAGACAGAAAGTAACAGAACCTAAACTGGAGATTAAATACTGTATTTATATACTACATTATGTGTGTGTGTATATATATGTAATAGTATATATAAATACAACAAGAACACCGTTTCTAGCTGCAGGCTGAGGTGCTGAAGGCTCACCTTTTACAAAGGTAGTAATCAACATGAAAGAAAAAAAATATAGCAGTAAAATCACTAAAATTGACTTACTTGGGACTCTTATCTGGTAGTGATTAAGTACAGTGAGAGCTTCCACTGCATCTGTCTTACATTCCCATTCCAAAAGACCAGACAGTGTTTTGGCAGAGGCTGTCAGAATGAGAAACAAAAAAAAAAGGGAAGGAGGGGATGAGTGAAGTCTCCTTTGCTCTTTTCAAAACTGGAATTCAAATATTTCCCCAAACAGGTCAAAGTTTACTTACGTTTTGGATCAAACACTTTGTATTTAATAAAGCTGAGAACTTCATGATCCTCACACAGCTGTCACAAAAATAAAACAAGAGGTAAAACTCCACTAAAAATGCACATAAACACATTACCAAAATTTCTAAGCTCCAAAAATGAAAACACCAACTCTTAAAGAGAATTTATGGCAAATTAGTATTTTCAAAATATGCTTGGATTGGAAACTCTTTAGAACACCATTCTGTAGTGTGCAAAACAAGGTTCCTATATCTGTGCTGTCCCATGAGAAATTATTTTTTTGGTACAAAAATTGTTAGAATACTGCTACCTCTACTACCTCAAGCAATATTTTTTAAAAAAAACAAGCTCTTCTTTTTGACATGCTCACTTCAACACAGCAGCTCAGAAGCTGTACATACAAGCACGTCACTCATGAGCCAGAGTTAACCTTCAGACAGAGCTTGAACAAACTTTATATTGAACTGAAAAAGAACTTGCTGAATCATCATCAGTTTTAGCACTGCCTCCACTTAAGCAGCCCAGTATTGCATGTTTTAAGCATACAGAGTTCATTTAAGACTGAACTGTGCAAACTGCTTCAGGTGCATGCACCTTTCCATTCTGAATCACCTATCAGTCATTTAAGTAACCATCTCAACAAGTCAGTAAATCTTTCGTGAATTGTAGTCCTAACTTTCCCTATAGTTGGATTTATGCGAGTCTTTTCCCCTTCCTCCACAAAAATTCCCAAACGCATTAAACTCAACTTTAGTTCCAAGAGAGAATGCCAGAATTGTGAAAATATAGCAGCTTCTATACAGAGAGGCTACAAACCCATTTTAAAAAAACAGTTCTCTCAGTTATTTCTCTTCAAAAGTAGCACAGTGTAAAGCTAGGATAGAGCCTCAAAGCACTGTATGTCACAGTCCTTTCAACTGCCTACCTTTACAAATGTTTCTTCAGTTACACACAGAGGAACATTATAATAATGCAGCACACAAGAGGGTGGTTGGATAATGTTCTTAGATGCTTGGCCAGCACTGGTGAAGCGATTATTCTTACTCATTGCAAAATCCTTGTAACTACTCGTGCCATCCTCCAGTTCAAATATCTGGCTTGGAACTACTGAGTGCTGCTTGGAAACACTGGGATTTAAGGATATATATAGTTAAAGCTTCTTAAATAATTAAGACTTGCATGCAGATTATTGATCTAACCAGAACAGAGATGACATTTCTTTACAATTTGAAATAGAAGGAGAACAGATGGGTTGGATTTGATACCTTTCCTTAAAACGAAAGGATGTACAAGACACATTAGGGGATACAGTTATTAACAGCCAATACATGTAATTCCCATATGCTTTATTAGTAGAAATAAAATAATAAATAGCAACAAATAAATAATAGTTGCAAATTGATAACAGAACAATGAGATACTGTCTGGTTGCAACCTCATTCCATCTGCCCTCTGGTAGACTATTAATCTGATAAAACATATTTACCAGACATTAAGTCTCTTTCCAAATAACTTGACATTGTTGAGATGTGTGACAGCTCTTTCCACAGCATACTCATCACCCATTTCAACCAGTGCCGTGCCTGGAATAGTCTTCATAAATTTCACCTAAAACAGAAAAGAGAAAAAAATGACATTGCAACAGCCTAACCAAGAGCTTTATAAATCATCAGGTAATAGTTTTAGATCATCTCAGACAGGTTTTTTCCAAAACAACTGAAATTACTATAGTAGTTTCCAAGTTTCTAATAAATTATGCCTTACCTTCTCAATGTTGCCATACAAGCAGAACAGGTTGAAGACCCTTGAACAGTTCATCTTTAGCTGATGCAACCCGCTAACCATGACAACTGACCCAGAAGGATTTCCACCATGCATGTAAGAGGAGGACGCCTGGGGCAACGGATAAGCAACAAGTTCTGGAGTGTCCCGAGACCCCATTCGGTACCGGCTTGGCAAGGGCAACAAAGGACCATGTGACCCTAAGGAGATGAAAGACCATGCTTTCATATTGTATGAAACAAGTTTCACTACTTAATCTTGCATTAAAGCCCACACAGGTAATGGGTAATTAAAGGAGGCGGGGGAAAATGTTACAGCAGTTTCCATTAATTCTTTTTCCAATTAAGAAAAAAAAAACAAACTGCATCACCAAAAACATAAACCAACCACAAAAACAAACAAGCAAACAAAAAACCCTTTTCTATTTCCCTTAATGTTGCAAGTCTGTTCTTACATTAGCAGATAAGGAGGAAGGAGCTGTTTCATGGTATTGCTTTTACACAAGTGGAAAAACGTATTTCAGTAATTATAAAAATAGTATCTTCCCTGCACCACACAGAGGGCTTGAACATAAACCTATCAGAAGAAATATCTGAAATAAACCTTCAGCAGTATTGCCATATCTACTTTCAGAGCTACATGACACCAAGAAAGAATACTACATAGTAGGGAAAACAAACCAGAAGGAATGAACTCTTAGCCAGACGTCAGCAGAGGAAATAACACAGCTCTTCTTCCAGAGACAAGAGATGAAGCCAGAAAACTGCCTTTCTACAAACAGCTCAATTGGAAGAAACAGGAACACTTAAACCCCTGCGTTAATGCAAAATTAAGCTGTCCTACGTTCCACTACAGATAAAGTGACCAGTTTCACAGAAATAAACAATCTTTCTCTCTTTCTCTCTTTTATTTTCCCCCATGAAGAGAAATAACTAGTATGCAATACCTTTCTATAAGAAACATCAGTATTACAGACAAGGAGATGGTCCCTGCTGTTCTGAGACAAATACGAAGTGAAATTCACGTAAACCGAGTATTAAAGGAACCTTTTGTCCTTTTTTTCCCCAGAAAAAGCAGTAATGAGAGTTAAACAGTGGTATAGGAGGAGGCAGCCACATTTCTTAAGAGAGAAGGATGTATCAGAAAAATGAAAAAAGATTATCAGTGAATACAAAGTAGAACTCAGGAACTCTGGAGATTTGAAAAACCTTTCGAAAGAGTAGGTAGGTCAACCTACACTGTAAAATATCATGAATAGATTTGTAAATAAAGAGGCAAGACAAATCACACTGCATCTGACAGTTGAGTGATTAACTAGAAAAGTCAAATCTAACTGGAACCAAGACCTCAGGGTTGAGAAACCCAAGTCCCAGCACATGAAAGTGACAGCAGATCTTCGTTTACAGATAGCATTGGTAACAACTACAGCACTTCACAGCACTAATTCCAAAACATCATTCTTATACAGTCACAGTTATAACTTTTCTGAATTAGCTAAATTAAAAGAAACACAAAGCTCACAATTCTTGCATGCAAGAACATCAAAGAGCTTTGTGCTGCATGAAACCATTGATCAAGATGTGTTGCCATTTTCTAGAAGCAAGCTGCTTTCCCAGTATAGATGTAATTTTCCATCCATTGCTACGGCGATAGCAATTGAAAGGAAATATTCTTTCAAGGGATGAATTTGTAGAGCTGGATGCTCTCTGCAAAAGGAAGAGGTGCGGCAACAACGCACATAGATTTTAGTCCATCACTAGCATTTTCAGAACATGGACTGACAGCACTGCATGTACAGCACAATAGTGAACAGCTCATGCTGTAATGGTCCATAGTTCAACATTGATTGAATATTTAGAATTCCACATTACATACAAAGAAATCAAAACCACCTGCCATCCTATGTTACTTACCATAACCATCATGTCTAAATGATGATGGATGCTCTCCCAAAATAGCTTGCCTCTGCCGGCCCTTCCCTCTGTCTAACATGTGGGAAGGGAAAGAGAACAGTTTAGTATGCACAACTATGCACCCAATTTCTGCAGTTAAGACACAAAGTTTTTAGTTAAAACGCAAAAAAGTAATTTGAGTCCTTGTTAATTTTATGAACAATTTCTCATTCATAATACGTCTAAAACCACAAGCTGTAACCCTGGGACACCAGAATTAAAAAGACTGCCATCTGTGTAACAAATTGCACTTAACTGACTGGGGGCAGTGGCCAATGAGGAGATGCAGATATTTAAAGTTTACGGAAATACCCAATAGTTTTCCTAAACAGACACCACACATTAGTATAGATAACACCATACAGCAGGATTTACCTATGTGTCTCTTAAAACAAATTTGAAATGCAGTACTTTTGAAAGACAGTACCTGAATCATAATATTAGCTTCAACAGCAACACATTTTCAAAGTAGGCTTCTTTCAAGAAGTTTCAGCATAAGCCAACAACAACCTGTATTACATGGTTTCATAATCAGTAAACAGAGAGCATTACATACGTGTACATATATATTTACAGAACACCTACTGATTTATGGGCGTGCTGAAAGGATTGTACATTATTGCATTATCAGCAGCACATAACAGTTCAACTGAAGAAAAACATCACTGAATAATGCATTTAAAACAACGCTCAATCCTTTAAGAAAACCCAGTTCTCTAGGATATAAAGTTAAGCAAGGGGTCTACATTACTGGAGAAAAGCAGTGCATCACAGCCAAAGCTGTATTTTTTTAAATCAGACCCATTCTGCATGATAAAAACTAAACTTACAGATTTCTTTGTGGTAAGCAACAACTGGTTTCTCACAATTAAAAAAGCCACATTGAAAAGATGGGAATTGTTGTAAACTGATACACGTTTTGCCCCAGGAAATTTAAGTATGATTCTATGACTGCCGAAAACAGCAACTCCAGCCCAATGCAGCTGGAGGTACTTCCTCTGAAAAAACAGAAACTATTTGCATTACACAACACAACAATGGGAAATGAAAACACATGTGCCCTTTCTGCTCAGGGTTTTGAGGACAGGTTCCAACTCAGATATTTACTTTGGCAATAAAGCCTGCAGAAAGAACAGTGCCAAATGCTTTCAAACATATAGAAGAAAGGCTACTTTTATCAAGTTTTGTTCTTCCATTCCCTCTTCAGGGTAACAGCTCAGTTCTTGCCTCTAAAAAGCAAATGGGCAGTCATATCAAGTATTTTAGGCATTTAAACTATAGGCAGTAATCTTTCAGGAAAATCAAGTTTATAATTCTAGTCTACGGAGCTAAATCCTTTGAAACTGCACACAGTAATAAAGGACCATATTCTTCAAATAAAGAAATCTGGGGGAACACCGTTTGACAAATATTTCCTCCCTGTGATGGTGTAGTCCAAACCCCCATACTTGTTCCTTCCTTGAAGTCCCACACTCGTGTCAATAAATTTACTTGTAAAAACAGGCATTGAAACACAAGACCTGATCTGTGTTAAAAATAATTCTGAAAGGAAAGATTCTTTATAATATTTTTTAAGTCTGGGATTTGTTGTTCTTTGCTTTTGTTTTCAAATCACGTCCTTGAGTCACTGCGTCTGCTGGTATTACCCCCAAAAGAAACGTTCCAAGCTATAGTTTGAGCTTTCTGGCTAAAAGCAATTAGAATAGTAAAGGTCAGTGGTTTCCTTTTTTTTTTTTTCAATCTAATGCAATATGTGTTCAAAGCATCAGGTACTTGTTAGGAAGCTTACTTAAGTGGACAAATACAATATGCAAGTCTGTAATATGTTACCATAGGAACTGTAAGCAAAATACACTTCTTTCCTAAGATTTGAGGGGGAGTTTGTGAAATTCTGAAAGGCTATATTAGCATGTCTGTCCTCAGAATGAAATTGCTTTGGGCTAAGACTTTGATTGCTGTAGTCAGAGTCCTACAGTTCGGGTCACATTAAGTTCAAAAGCCAAACAACACTACTGCAGGACTTAGCTGAAGTACAAATATGAAACCTCTCTCAAAAAAGCAGCAAAACCACTTCATTCCTTTATAGGAAAAATTGCTCTATATGCCTGCCTTCTCAAAGACATTTCAGTGTTCACTCAAAAATTATGTTCCCATTTTCTAGATAAATGGGTCACAATAAGTGAAAAATTGTGATATATACAATATATTATATATACGTATTAAATCCAAGTCTAATTCTTTTCCTCTTACGTGTAGTAGAGGGATGTATAGCAAATAGAGACAGGCTGTCAAAGTAATAAAGTAACCTATGAAAGAACAAGACATAGGTATCCTGCGTTTTTCATTTCCCACTGTTTTCTCTAGCTTGGGGAACCTTTAGTTCATGCAGCCATAGCTATTTGAAGGCCAATTACATAATGTAATTAGATGCACAGCGTTACAAGTCAGCTTCTGAACACTGCAATAATCAAAAGACATGAGGGTCAAATTAATCCTTCAGGTTTTTCAAATTCAAACCTTCATATCTTTTTCTTGCCCTTGAGCTTCTTCAGACTTCTTTTTTTAGCTCAGGAATTTGAGAAAAAAAAACAACTGAATCCTGATACAAACAGTCATAATCAACCAATACTGTAGCTCCCTTGTTAACTTTTTACAAGAACTTAATTCAAGCCCTAAGTTTTTAGTTGTACAACAGTTTTACAAGCCCAGTGTCTCTGCAGAATTACTCTGAAGTGCATATTGCTTGAGACGGCCAAAGCCCTGGTTCTCATATAGCCTTTCATAAATAGATAATCTACCTTGGACACATTGTCTTCACTTTTCTAACTTTACATTGCACATGTTATTGTACAGAAGTTACTGAACACTGCACTCAAAAGATACAGATCATTATTTTTTAATAAACACTTTACATGAGTTAGGCTACACAGCAGTTTGTCTTTACATATATAGTTATAGTTCCCACGAGTTAAGCTCTGGTAATTTTTACAGCTGAGTATTTAAGAGACAGTATGACTGTACCAATTATGAATCTCCCTATTTTAATACTTAAAAAAAACTGAGGGGACCTATCTGATATTGCACTGCTCATTTCCAGCTGTCTACAGATAAAGTTTAAACATCCCTACTAGACAGTATTTACACTAAGACTGAATGCAACTCCCACATACAGCAAGTAATAAAAATATTACAACATCAATGATATCAACAAGACAGATTCTTAATTTTGGAGGTTCTCAAATTTTCAGTTGTAATTTTAAGGGAAATAAGCCAGCATACATACAATCATGAACAGAATGGGTACAGTCTTATGTTATTCATCCCATACAAATCTGAAGTACTGAAAGTGTCCTCCTTTAAAAACTTGTGGTGGTGGTGCATGCAGTATGCAGACAAGGTGAATTGCAAGTCTGAGTTTTTCAGAGGGTTTGTTTGTTTGTTTGGGGGTTTTTTGCTGATGCCGATGTGGTGCATGATGAAGTGTAGAGTCAGCCTGCTGAAGTCCTCTATCCTTCTTAATGCCTCGTCCAACATAGGGGAAAAGAGTCCTTTCGAAGGAGAAGCAGTGTGCAAGTTTGTAGTTTGTAAGGAATAGTCTGTACCAGGTTTCCTCTCCTCCAAAGGGAGAGAGCTGCTTGGAGAAATGCAAGTCCTTGAGAACTGCGAAGGTGCTTGGAGGTGTGGGCTCCTTGTTGAACTAAATGGCTCAAGCACACGGCAGTAGGGGGGAACTAGGGCTCAGGGTTAATTTCCTGGCTTGTAAGTACAGCCTTCAGCAGCACTTTGAAATGACTATTGCGATACAGCCTGACCATGTATAAAGGATTGTCATTAGTACAAACATCTACAGCAATAACATATGAAAACCTACCTCGTCGGCCCAGATATGGTTTAGTGTAGTCCCAACTATCATTGTCGTTTCTAATGACATTGAGTCGAGTTGGCTGTTCAAATAAAGTAAAAGCAAAAAAAGGTTAAGTCTCAATTATACATGTATTTCCAGTAAAATTAAAAGAAAAGGTCCAAGCATTACCCTTGCATATTCAATTTTTAGTGTGCAGCATCCTGCATAGATATCTGCTCCATTAAGTGCAGCCTTCGCCTTCTGGGCGCAAAACACTGATTCAAACATAGAAATAATGTTAAGGATTTTTTTTTCCCCCAGGTGTCTCATTCATGCCCCTTTCTTCTCATATGGTTTCATATTTGTAGCCTGCAGATATTTCATTATCATATACAACATTTCTATACAAACTTCAATATATAAATCACCAACAAATATATATGGGTTCAACTTATGTTAACCATCTCATTTTGAGATGTAAGCAGCACATAATGAGACTGTTTATAAATTAGTAAATTCTTCAGTATGGATAACATACATGTAAGCTTGCTTTTTGCTACGATCTTATGCCAGTTGGAAGGGGATATTTTCATCAGAAGACACAGAAAGTTACCAGCAAGCCTAGAGAATACTTGAAGGGAAACTTCAAGCTGCAGCATTTGAGAAGGGATTGGAGCTCAGGGCGAGAAGGCGTGACTTAAAGACAATGCATCCCTTTTCACCACTAGCATTAGCTAGACACCTCTGGGTAGGGAAAACATGAACTCAGTAATCACTTTACAGCGAAAAACTGAGGAAAACTATAGCCTCTTTAGCTTATTAGCCAAATAAAATCACAGAACTAAGAGAGATACTTTGAGTGACCAAATAATCATCTTGCATCAAAAAATACAAGCAGCAAACTGCTTTAAATTTCCTGCCCAAGGCAGTTGCATTTACCAGGCTCCAAATGTAGGTTATTTCATATCCTCTACATAAAGTATGTCCTACGACTAGCAGAAAAATGTACCTGAGCCTTGGCACATGGTAATCCATGATCTCATACATACTCCATAATCATACATACTCAATAACATACGGTGTCAGAGAACTTGAACCTTGCAGCAGACCATCCTGCAATGTAATGTAATGACATTTTGGAAGTAGTCTGTATCAACAGCGTATCTCCTGTGTTTTACCACATTCCTGCAAACCAACTTCTAAGGTGATGCAGATTCACTGTGGAAGGTAAGAGTGAAAAGAGTTAAGCTTCACAGGCCTCTAAGAAATTACTAGATACTGACCAGAACTGTGGGAGCACATTTGCAAAAGTAATGGGTACTGCAGTTAGCACTGAAATTTGTGTCAATTTTTGAACTTTTAAGGCAACACTTGTCATGAAGCTGACTGTTTTTCCCCCACGGAGCTGTTCACCTACACTGCTGCATTACTTTGCTCACATTTTGAATTTTCTTTCAATTGCTTGTTGGTTTGGTTTTCAAAAGGCATGTTGCAGAATTTAAATCAAAGGACAGAAGCACAGTAGTCTCAGATTATGTGCAGGATCCTCTATATAACTTCCCTGATCTTTCATAAAATGCAGAATAACCCCCAACTGTACAAGTCATCTGCTCCAGAAAACACTGCTTACCACAAACTCAATACACAGTAAGTCAAACTACTGCCTGTTAGGACATACAGTTTAAGTCTTCTACATAGACAAACAGCAGTTAGCTTGCTTTTATGGAAGTCAGAGTAATTCTTTTGGCCTGGCAAATCATTAATGCAACCACTGGTTAAGTCACACATTACCGAAGAGACCCACTAATGAAGCCTGCCACATCGGCAGCATCTGAAATTACAAAAGGATTTCTGAGATTTTGGTACAGTTTTGTCCAGATAACAGCTCTGAAGTGGAGGGTAATCAGTCTCTAGGAAGAAGGCTATCAGAGTTTTATAAACTAAGGCATAATCATATGAGACTTTGGACTTTGCAAACCACAGTAACACATTAACAACTCTGAACAGTCACCCTATGTACAACTTAACACTACAGATAGAGTAAACAGTAGGATAACAATGCAGGGGGAATTTCCCCAACACATAACGAACAGGTCAAGGAGGCCCAAGTTGGTCCCAAGCAGTATATATTAGGACTATTTTAGAGGAGTCTGAAGAAGTCAAACTGCACTTCTGCAATCCCTCACCCATTTCTTGAGTATCAATACCAGCAGAGGCCATGAAGCTTTGTGTATAATGTGTTATCAAATCAAGAACATTTCATGCCTGCCTTAGGGCCACCTATAAACATGGTTATCAAGACTATTGTTGACAACATCATTTTCCTATAAAGATTAAATGTTTAAGTGCTTGCAGACATACAGAAATTATCATGTCTTACACAGAAACTAAAAAATAATTTGGTCTCAAAATTACACAGTATTTATGGCATCTGCAGTCAAAAACCTACAGAAAAAAAAATCAATCACACTCAAAAAGGATATTCAACCATCGCTTGTATTCCGTTTCTCTTGAATATAACAATGCGCTGAACTTTTCCAACAGGGTTGCACACAGTATACAAGACATCCTAAGGAAGAAGAAAAAAATGTTTTAGTCAGATGTGACATTTCAAACACGAGGTCCACAGAACATTTTCTCGCATTGGCATTTAAATGCCAGAGAGTAAAGAAAAGGCTTGTTCACTTTTCATTTATAATTTTCCCTATACAATTTATACATTCATTATTAGCATTTTTAAGGAATAATACAGTACAGGCAGTCAAATCTGAAAAATGGAAAAAATCCTCTAAGAAGTAGAATCATAGAATAGTTAGGGTTGGAAAGGACACTAAGATCATCAAGTTCCAACCCCCCTGCCATGGGCAGGGACACCTCACACTAAACCATGTCACCCAAGGCTCTGTCCAACTGGCCTTAAACACTGCCAGGGATGGAGCATTCACAACTTCCTCAGGCAACCCATTCCAGTGCCTCACCACCCTCACAGGGAAGAACTTCTTATATCTAACCTGAACTTCCCCTGTTTAAATTTGAACCCATTACCCCTTGTCCTGTCACTACAAGTACTAATACAAACATTAAACAAGTACCTTCAACTGTGTTAAAACCCAGTAATTCCATCTATGTCTCAACCTATGCTCCCTTTAAAGCATGAATTGCAGTAGTTTCACCAAAGCGAAGAGAGACAAAGTGACGCTGTAGTTATAGAATATTTCATTTCATAAGGTTGAAAGGGTTTTTTTAATTGTTCATGTTTGCTTTCAGAAGAGTAGCTGGGGGCAGTCTATGATGTAAGCTTTGGTGGCTTATCAAAAGGAAAATTTCATTGTTATTCACCTGAATCAAAGACACTGCAAAGTGGTTGCTGTGCTTCTTCATTTAAGTCAGAGAAAACTTCTGACAAGAAACTAGATCAATGCAAACTCATTGTTAAGACTGCTTTCACCAGCATTTGTCTATACTGCAAGGAACCAATAAAATTCAAGACCATCCTCAGTGCTGCAGGGGAACCAAACAGTAAGGAGAAAAGCTCCCCTTTCTGCACCTCAGGCCAGGCTTATGATGTGGTGCTAGGATGCCTCTAGTGATCATTGGTATACTCTAGACAAACAGCTGGGGGCAGCAGAAAAGAAGAGGTTGAGGGGGTAGTGTTAGTTTTTGAAAAGCAACTGCAGTTCTACAGGCTTCATCCTCAGCATTTCCATGAAGCTCTCCCAGCCCATAAGGATGCTTCTGCTATCAGTTTCCTCAAGCATCTACATTCAACACAGCTGCTTCTGCAAGCCAAATTTCAAATGCATGAATGAAACTCAGTTTCCAAAATTTGTATTATAGTCACGTGGAAAGAATACTTCAACTTCCAGTGGAAGTGTTCACATAGCTCAAAGCAGGTATATTTTTAAACACTGATGAAAAAACACCTCATTCTTGCCATGCTTTTCTATAGAGAAAACTGTCAGGAGAAAAAAATACAGCATCCACTAAGGAATCAACAAGCAAAAACCTATCAACATTCACAACACAGTGAAGCAAAAAGCATGACGTGGGACTGATTGCTTGAAGCAATTTTAGGAATGTTAAGTTTCAATCAATTTGCTGCCATAACATATGTCACATTAAACAAAAGTTAACGCTTGCTTTAAGTTACATGGTTCCACACAACCTGAACACTTTGACTGATCCATACTATCCCATATATTTCCTTAAGAACAAGTAACTTACACTTGTATCACAGAATTACAACCCTGCCTACAGCAATTTTTTCCTGACATATTTCTGTACCTTTCAATGTGTACTATAAGATCTCTATGAAAAATATAAGCATTCAGTGCATGAATCATAATCTGTATCATAAAAAAATGCACGTGTGCCATAAACAGATGGCAATAAATTAGGATACAACTGCATCTACGGCATTACTTGAAATACTGAAAAGCAGAATGTATCAACCCAAATAAAAGTGAGGAAGATTCCATCAAACTGAAGTTGATAATCAACAAATAAAGGTTTCAACTTCCCACAAAGGAAATACTTCAGAATGAAGGACTGCATAAAATAACCCCTCCCACTGGAAAAATTACTTGCTACTTAAACGTACACCACTCAGAGCCTAAAAACTAAATGACATTCTCAATATTATGGCAACACGCTTGGCAATATTTCCAAAGCACACATCAACTTAAAACATTTCAAGATCCTGACCACTGAAGACTTCAAATGTATTGCAAAATACGTGTACAATGTGACTGAATCACCCCCGAAAACCTTTTTTCTAGAGCATGCATGTTACTTTTGTGAGGATAGTGGAAACCTTTGGTACATTATTTTATTCCTGACTCAAATTAACAGCGTATAATTTTAACAAATGGTAAACAATGGTAATAATGTATGAGATTGCTGCGCCCTGCCTTTAATTATTTTATAAAGAAGAAGAGAGAAAAAGAAGAAACATACCACTGTAATTGGGTAGAGAGGGTTCTGAATTGACAACAGAAGAACTTTATTTCCACCAGATGGATCATCAGTGTTCCCTGGCCGAGTAATCCTCTTACTTGTTGAGTAGTTGAAAAAAGCCTGCTGTCCAGCAATGTATACAGGCTCATCCGCTGCAAATGTTACGCATTTCTTTGCGCTTTCTACGTTCTCAAACTCTACCAGAGCTTGGCGCTTAAACGGCATCATCATGACATAACTGGTGAGAGAAACATTACGGTAAGTTTTCCTATCCGCTTACTCAAAACAAATCCAAAGTTCTCTAAGTCTCACATGCTTTTTTCTAAACAATGCCTAACAAGGACTAAAAGGAAGGTGGGTCTCCCTGCTCACACTTCCCAAACCTGGTCAACACATTTCTAAAGCGTTTGCACAAAACAAAGAAATGAAGTTATAAGATAAATAAGTAATAAAGTTGTTTTCATGAAAAAGTTTAATGCATAAAAATATTCAAACAATAAAATAAACATTTAAATATTTACTAAATTATAAAACCTGCAATATTAAAAAAAATCTTGCTAAAGCCAGTAAAGGATCAAAGTAAATGCCAATTATAAAACACATTCAAAGATGATACATTAAACTTCTGGTGCTGTTGCTAAGGAATTTAAAATACTATTTCTAACACAAAACTATTGTAGAGGAAATAAACAGAAGTATTGTAGCTAACCAAATCCAGACAGACAAACTCAAGAAGCTCTGTCAGTTAATTATGTTTCTGAAAAGTAAAATTTCCAGGCTACATGTACTTATTTGTATTCCTGAACAAGCTGGTCCTTGTTTAATTTTATTTATTTTAAAAAATACTGATACAAGCATAATTCAATTATTTGAATATTAAGACCACGGAAAAATACTGTTGCCCTATTTACAATACCCTATTTCACTTCAATACACGCGTTCACTCCAAAAGAAATGCATGACTCCAAAAAGGTGCACTCAGAACTACCCATTCACCTTTACTATTTTGTTCACAGATGAGGAATCTTCAGGCTGTAAGACCTTCGAGTGGGCTTTCTCTGAACAATCATCTCATTCTGAAGGTTCTACCATATCACAAACACTCTTCCATACAAAACCATAGGAAAAAGAATCATCTGTTCTGTGGCCCATCCTTATTTTTGGTATATTCACCTATACCCAGACAATCACCCCTGTGCTGTTCTGCAATTCAGTTAACCTAGAGCTCATATTAAGGCCAGGACTAGACTGTGCTACTGCAATCTCAGAGCACACATGTAGCCAGCTGTAACTCTGCTTGACCAGACTTAGCATATGCAGAAACACAGAATCTTCACAAAGCTAGAAAATCTTAATGCTTTACTATTAACTAAGTTCTGGATTTCAAATAGTTATCATAAAGAGGTCCAAGTGACCTTTAAATAATGCTCACAACTTGTCCAGAGACATGACATTACACTGCTTGACATACCATATGGTTCCAAACTTTTCAAGAGCTTCCACAAGATCTGCTTCCACAACTGATTCACACAGCCCTCGGACATGAACAACGGGAGAAACGGAGACTTTGTGATGACTTCCCCCGGCATCCTAGCAACAAAAAGATTTTTAAATTCAACACAGAACGAGGAATACTGCCGTCATTAACTAAAATTAACTAAAATCAATTAAAATTAACTAAAACTTGGCAGACTCTGCTGGGTCCAGAAACAGCCATCTAAATAATGTACAATCCAAGCATATTTTAAATAATTTAACATCTCTTTCCAAACGGATTGCCAAATTTAGTTGCTGCGGTCTACTTAAAATAAAACGCTCTGCAGATTTAGTCAATGTGCTAGCATTTAGTCAATGTGCTAGCACAGGCAAGATTTTCCTAATTAAAAAAAGGCCATTTAACACTTGGTTGGGTTGCAGGAGATCTACGCTATTTGTTAAAAGCATCAGAAAAAATACACAACAGCTAAAATATTTCTGACACACTTCCTGTTTGTTTGTTTGTTTGTGACAGGCTGGGGGATAAAAGCAAAGGGCCATGAGTAAACTAAATGAAAATGGATTATTTTTCTAATATACATGGTGAGGTGCCCCACAGTACAGAAAGAAATACCTGTTCCATGCTACACTTGAAATAAACCCAAGCTCCCTTCTAAGTCTGAACACTCTTAATACATGTTTATAAAACCTCACCAGTTCTGTACCCATGGGCATGCCCTCTCTTTTCACCTCAAGGTTGCCTACCATTAACAGATTCAGCTGCCATACACTACCACACAGAATTCCCACTATAAACATTTTTCAGAGCTACTGCTGTGACTTCAGTCTAGGTTCTGTGTGAATGAAGAATTTGGGTTGGAATCAGCTCACCTTTCCATGCAAAGCCTGAAGTAGGGCTGAAATTTACATTATACATTCTGAGACATGGGGGTAAAAAAAAGAAAGAACGTAAGCAAATAATGGAAAAAACAAGGAAAGATTAGAGAAAACCCGCTAAAATATACTGTAAGCACCAGCACCCACATTCTGTAATGGCGTTAACATCATGTATTCAAATTTAGCAATTACGCCTGTTAGATGTGTTTGATCTAACAGACCAAGTCTTGCTGATTTTTCACTTTTTCATAAGAAGTAGTGTAGCATCTTCTAGAACTAGAAAGAGAGATTCTCATTTGTAGCACAAAGGAGCATTCAGCTCCAGTAATTGAGTAACCACAATGATTGCTATTACTGCTACAGACATTCCTCTCTTCCCTTTCTGTTTGAGCTACAGATTCAAGGAAAAAAACACATTCCAGATAACTACAAATTGAGTCCTGTGTGTCTAATTCCCGTGTTCCATTCACAGCTCTCCCAAAACAATTACGTTTTTAATTCCTTAAAAAGGGATTTGACCATTCTGCTTGAACCAAAAGCCAGCACTTCAAACTACATCAGACATCAGATAATCCGCTGTGTAAAGTTTTTTAACTTAGCTTACAGTTGATTCATTTGCAGTATGAAAGCATGAAGTGGCAACACTCTTCTTTGAATAAGAGCTGTGACAATTGTGGGAGAACACCACTAGTGATATTTGCATAAGATAACATATATCCTGAATTAATTAATCATCTGAGGTCTCCAGCAGTAGCAGTGATCTAAGTAGTCATAAAAGATTAATACTTTGAACTGCAAATATTTTGGCAATTGTGGAAGGAACAGAACCACACAGAGGTTTTTATTTTCAGCTTATATGTTCTTCACCCACATACACACTTTTTAAAGCTTAAAGAACCATCTAAGGAAGGAAATTTCCAAAGGAAAACTAACAATAATTACCAGTTTTTCCTGCAAAGTCTATTACTCTAAAACATTATGATAGCAGGCATCTTTACTTTATTTACAGGCTACAGAACAATCAGAAGCTCTTAAATCAATTATTCATTGCCCTGCAGACTTGTTACTATATTAGGATCCCTGTTAACATTAGGGCTATGTGTTTTCTTTTCTTTTGTTTTCTTCTCTTTAATGCATTCAAGAATCTCACCTAAAAATATTTCTGGCTCCTCAGATGGCAAATATGCATAAAGATTTTCTCACTGAAGCAAAGACACACTACAAAGAGCCACCTTACTTCACTGGCACTCCATACATCAAGTCAAAGTTTTTAGAGAGTGGATCATAACACAACAGTATTTCGCTTCCTCCCTTTTCAGTTCAATCTTCTTTAATAGTTTCAGTTCATGTTTCTTTGTCATGCACATCCCTTTGTATTTTTATTTATTAGCAGTTCATTTAAGCTTGCCTACTGAAGATATAACTCCCTCTAACAGTACAAACTCTCTCAAAAATTAAGACTTTTGTACTTGCATCTTCAAATCCATTATAACAAATGACACGCACACAGAGGTGTCTGCAATTTTGTAACTGGAATTATTCTCTGAGCCATCAGCAGATACAAATTTTGCTTTCTTTTGCAGTTAAAGCAACACTTGGCTTTCCAAGCCAAATTTCCTTCTTTCACAACACCACACAGAAAGCATCTATTAGTAGGGTGTTGTTTGATAGGAGATTTAGCAAGAATGGAAAGTCACAACACTGGTGCTATGGTAAGTAACTCACACAGAAGCTCAAGAGCATGCAATAAAATAATAATAATAATTATTACTTTAATACACGCCAGTGAAATCTCAGTCACTTGCCGTGAAGTTAAAGACTTATCCACATAGCGTTTCAAAAACTAATTTACACAGATAAAACCACTGATGTTATAAATGGCCAAATCAGAAGGCACTGCTTTACTCAAAATAGTTTCTAACCAGCAGCAGTAAAGAGCAGCACAAGAACCAAGCATAAGCCAGTCCTGAACCAGGAAGCCACAAACTAACATTCACAAAGCACACTAGTGAAAGACATGAACATGGGCCACAGGCACATGTTTGCGTGGAAGAAGTCTTCAGGAAGGGCAGACATACGCACTATCGTCAAACAAGTTTTGCAGCTACCGAGCTGCAGCAGCAAGCAAATCTAGAATGATCCTTGATTTCCTCTAAAAGGAGAAATAAAACCACTAGACCACATGAAAAAAATCAAACCTGTCTGTAAATCTAAAGCACCTCCAAAGCTAAGGTCAGCATGTATACAACTCATCCAACTGCTGCCGTAATATCTTCCCAGAAATGAAAAATACAGGATTTTGGCCAAAATCTCATGGTCACTGTACCCTGAAAACTCCATGTGCTACAGTTGGCACACAGACAAAGGTTACATCAAAGCATCTGCTCACATACAGATTAACAACTAGCAGTATTTCTCTGCTCACAAAGGAGTCTTTCACTAATGCCAACCCCCACAATGGCACAAAAGCCCCATGCAAAACTCCAACGACACTTGTGCCCCACCAAAGCCAGAAGAACAGTTTAGCTAACGTCACTGCTGCATCCACTAATACGTATGGCTTAAGGGCTTCTGAAAGCTCGGTAACAATTTCTTGAAGAATCATTAGCTGGACAGAAAATGCAATCATTTAATAGATAACAGAAACAGACTTCCTTTCTAAATGCTCAAGTCCGGTAACCAGGACAGAAAAAGTTTCCACCACAAAAAGAAGCTACAACATAAAAATGCTTAACATTGAAACTGAGCTTCTGCAGAGAGCTGAGGCACGAAGTGCTGATATAACCAAGCAGTTGAAGCACAAACAAGTTACTTCACATATATAAGACTGCAGGAGACTTCCAAGAGCAGCTATAGCATTTGAACATCCATTCTTTGGTGACCTACATAGTTCTAGACAAAACTGTAAATATATTACTGGTTTCTTGCTAACAAATACTGATTTGCCATTCCAAAAAGGAAGAAAGTCATCTCATCATGGGCTCCAGGATGATGTTTCTCCTGCTCACCAATTCCAGACTAGAGAATTTTTCACCAGCTGTTTGCACATCAATGCATCCTTTATCCTTCCTCCAGACACTTTCCAGTCAGTATATTCACCTTAGTTCTATTAGTCACTACTACCTTTTTTTGGACCATCTGCTCCTTTACCCTTTCTCTGTTTGCCTCCTCCTCTTTTTCTCCTTACTGCAAAAGGACAGCACTGCATCTTTCCTCCGCTCAGATACCTAAATATACTATTATTTTACTTCTCATCATTCAGATTATCTTATTCACTCTCAACTTTTTCCTTTCACTGCACCCCTCTTAAATGCTCTGAAATTGCTTTTAGAAATATGACAGAACTGGTGGGGAGCCCCACAAGGTTTCTTATTAGTTATGCAAGTTCCCCAAACTTCATTAATACGTAACTATGGACTGATCATTCAACTGCCTTGCAGAATGTCAAGGGTAACTAAAATTACCTCACTATAAAGTTAAGGTGAAAGGATACAACACATTACCCAGTAATCTCAGCTCTGCCCACTGGTGATGCTCTGATGAAGAAACTTTCATAAGCAGACACACAGCATCTCATGCACACTCTTTAAATACCAGTTGCAGTACACGATGATGGCATTTTTTGAAACTGTTTACCATCATACATCATCTCTACTGATCACACACATCTGCCTCACTTTAGCAGTTCTGTCTCTTCCCTACAGAGTACAGGAGACTCTTCTCTCTGCGCCACCTGAAATTCCTGTAGCTTTGCACTGACTTTATTTCCAGTACACAGTGAAGCAAGACAGTTTCAGAACAACCAAGCAAAAAAAGACAAGTTCAGATTCCATGGCAGTAGAAGAATATACCAGCTTTGTATATACTATATAGCTGTTATTGCTGGTTTGTTTTGGGACCTGAGGGTTACAGTTAATCACACCTTATATCCTGGAAGGCTACCTGGCAATTTAGTTTTGATTTGGATGTGATTTTGGGGTATTGTTTCTCTTGTTTAATGCATACCTCTTCCTGGTACTCTCTATGATTGTGTCCTTTCAATGACCACAACTGCTACAGAATGGAATACTTGTACTCTGTCCCCTTCTGCTAATTTTGAATATTCCCCAAAGTGGTCAGGCAGTTGGACTACATGATGGCTGTAGGTCCCTGCCAACCAAAATACTCTATTTTCTTCTCTACTCAGCACAATCTGGATATCCCTTTACAAAAACTGAACAAACAAAACCTCACACAACCCATGGCATCATCAGGAGATTCCACCTCAACTAGCTTGAAGGTAACGGCTACTTTTTTGATGGAGGACAAAGGAGAGGGGATGATTTACACTTACTCCATAACCAATTTCTAGAATGTACTTCATTTAAGAAATGCATACATGAATGTCACTGCGAAATAGGTCAAGATCTGAACTCACTGCCTTCTAGCTGCTGTTACAACTGCCTGCCACAGTCATGAAGCAAGCGTGTTGCAAAGCGGGTTGCTTTCTTTCCATTTACTGCAAAGCAAAAACACCCCATACGGGAAGTTACAGCAGAGTAGCTGAGAAGCGTCAAGTACATTCCGACGAGCTACCGCAAGATAAGATAGTTATGTTTGTGTATGTAGATACCACATCTCACTTCTCCAACAGTAAAAATGGGATAATAGACCTTCCCTGCTTCATAGACATATTTAAGAGCAAGTATGTTAGAGACAGTGAGGCAGATGGATGTCAAAGAAAAAACGGGTTGTATAAATACATTAATCAACAAAACTGAAGTCTAAGGGAGGAAGAGTGGATGGAGTTGAAAGACCCTCCAAACACAGCTCTTGACCCACATTTTCCCAATGTCCTGATGCTATGCTACACCACAATTCCAACTCCTCTGCTGAAGCTTCACCAACACTCAACATAGGCTCTGTAGAAGTCAATTCTTCCAAACCATACTCTCCCACACAAAATACTTCTGTAAGATCACCTCCTGCTTCTACCCCAGTCAACATTCTGGTCTGTCGGGCTCTCCATGCTCCTCAGCCTTGACAGGAGCCATGGGGAAGAGGGTACAGCTCTGGGCTACGAGGAGTGTCCACAGGACTGGGAACAAAGGAAGAAAAGAGCAAAATAAATGTTGGTTTTCCCACCTGTATCTTGCATGAAGATTCCTAGGCAGGCATTTATAAAACCCTACATAATTTAGAGACACAAAGGGCTTATTCAAACCAATGAAGCAACCCCAGAGGAATAGGAAAATGCCACAATAATAACAAATAATAAATACAGCCCAGCAGGAAGACCCCACCAACCTGCTGGCAGGTCCTACCACAGAACAGGCTTTATACAAAGAAAGTATATAATCCATATGAGTGTACACTTCACCACTATTCTAGGACACATGCTGGCAGTGGGGAGGGGACAGGACATGGACAACAGTGAGGCCACCAGATTCCTACCACTGTTCTTACCCTGATCATCCATTTCCCCATTTTCCTTCTAATTCCCCACCCCCTATAGTTCCTCCTACTCCACTTGCTGTTTTTCTTCTCCCTTCTGAGTAACCCAGGATACTTACACTTCTTCCTTCCTCTCAACCTACCTTCATCTTACATATCTTCACCCTGAACCGCATACAACTTTTCTAAGATAAGAACATTTCTCTGGAGAGAAATTATTAAGATATGTCAAAGAATAAATAAGTTTCCTGCACTTTTTAATCTATTAGAGAAAAAAAAACTGTAATTCACGTTAACTAATTGAAAATGCTAGCAGTTTGCTATTAAATGCCCCACATAAAATTACTAACAAAAGCACTCAGCTGCTCATTTCTCATATATTCACTTGATGCTATAGCTCATTCTTAAGGAAGTAGTTTAATCTCTATCATCAAGACAACTTCTGCCTCTCTGCACATTAACTGGGATAAACTGAGGTACTGAGGTCAACACGAAGACAATGTGAGCCGGAACCCAGAATGAGGGGAGGGGGAAAAAAGAAGAAAAGTAAGAACTAGCTGATTTCATAAAATACCGCAGGAAAGAGGAAAGGCAAGAGCAGTATCTTGTTCCTATTTGAAACACTGTGTGATGTCCTGCTCCCCTACATGACAAAGCTTCAATGTAACTTAAGCAAGCATATGGATGTCATTGACAACTGACCTTTAAGACAGAGCCCACTGATAAACCCTGACTGAAACAGAGACAAAGCTTTGTCACAAGAAATCATAGAATTAAAATAGATATGTTGTAATTCTGTAACACAGATATATATCTTTGTTGCAGTTTATCAGGCACCTTTTGTACTAATTTAGCAGGTACCTCCTCCATCAAGAAGTTTAAGAGATGCTACCTTATCCCAGCGCCAAGCAAGTTCATTTTTATAAAATCATGAAATGAGCTATTCTATACAAGGTCTGCCATTAAACCAATGCTCTCTTGATCTTGCTTTTTCAAGTAAGAAACAGAAAGAGCCATCAAGAAGAAAAATGGTTAAAATCAGCTGGACAATTGGCTAAAAAAAAAAAAAAATCAAGCAGCAGCCACAAAAGTACTGTTAGCCCAAATTTACGGGTCAAGGACTATCCCGATACTTAGATTCATGCAGAATAGAAGGTATGTGGCAAAAAAATAACTGAACCAGCTTATTAACATTGCTCGGGGGAGTAAAAATACAAATGATTTTTAAAAGGAGGTAATCACTTATGATCAACCTTGTCGCCATATGCCGCCAGACACAACGGCAAAACAGAAGGATGAGAGAAACGCTCTGCCTCGCTTGCTTCCTCCGCTCTACGTTTCTATAGTTACACTCAGCAACAGGGCAAACACAAAACTTGCAATGGCAATATCCCAGGAGGCAACAAGCTGCCCACGGAACAGAAGCAATCTCAGACCTGTGAAACCCAAACCACGCAGCCCCAGCAGATTGCGGAGCTCAGTCCCTCTCCCCCAGGCAACTACGGCAGGAACAATCAGCCGCACACCCTGAGCACGCCCGCCACGGGGAGAAGGGAGAGGAGTGCGGGACCGAGCCCGGCTCCCTCACCGCCTTCCCCCAACTACGGGAAAGGCGCGGGGGGAGCACACACCACCGGAAGCGCCTCCATGCCCGGGGAACAGGGACAGCGGGCTCCGGCTCCAGCCCCGGGCGCACGGCGTGGCCGGCGATGAAGCCCGCCGCCCGCCGCGGGTGAATGAGGCGGGGAGCGAAGCGAGCCTGGTCCCACGGGAGGGGAGGGAGTGCGGGGTGGGGCGGGCGGCTCGCCTGCACCCTCCCCCCGGCGGCATCCTGATGGAAGGTCCCCCCCGACCCCTCCCCGGCGGCCGCCGCCGCGTCCCTCACCGCGCCCGAGAAGCCCGCCCCGCGCGGCGCGGGGGGCTTGTCCCGCCGGCTCTCGCTCTCCTCCGCGCCGCTGTACTCGATCTCGCCCTCCTCGGCAGCGGCGCTGGGCTTCAGCCGCTTGGCCTGGCTCTCGTAGGCTCCGTCCTCCTCTTCCTCCTCCTCATACCGCTCCCCAGACGACGGCGACGACATGGCCGCGACAGAGAGGGGAGGAACGGCCCAGCTACGCTGAGGGGGGACACAGGCAGCGAGAAAACGGGGCTGAAGCCCGGTGGCAGCGAGCCCCAAAGATGCTCTGCGCCCCGGCCCCCCACAGCACACACCCCTCCCTCTCCGGGAGTGGGGCACGCCTCCCCGGCGGCCACCGCTGCCACCATTGGCTCCGAGTCAGGGCGGGGGCGAACTCGGTGAGCCGATAGGCCAGTAGGCATGCCCATCGGACGCTGCCGGCACAGTGATTGGTCAGTGGGCGCGCCCGTCACCGCCCCTAGAGGCTGTCCCGTCACCGCCTCTCTCTTCCCTCCCTCCCTCCGTCGGTCTTTGATGTCTGAGGGCTTGGGAGGCCGCGCCGAGGGCCGGGCCCAGCGTTCTGGCCGCGAGGTCCTTTTCTCACCGACCGCCTCCCGCGCAGCCCTCACCGCTTTTGTTCTTCCCCCGGCGCCACGGCTCGTACAGGCGCTGCTGGCCCGGGCACTGTGGGCTGTGAGGAGCAGCAGGGCCGGTGTGTCCTAGCGGGAAGCGCTCCGGGCCGCCGCGCTGCGGCCCCCAGTTGCCAAGGTCACGGAGCATCTAGAGAGCCGTGTGGTGGCTCCCCAGGCACAGCCGTTAGCTCCACACTTAGCCCGTAGCCCCTGGCCACGAAGGGGAAGCTCGTGCGCTTTTTCGGGTGGGCCCGGTGCTCATCGCAAGAAGAACAGTACCGCACTAAATATGCTTGCCACAAGCTCGATGAACGTGGGGAGCTGCCTGGGCAGTTGTCTGCGTGCCCCCAGGGCTCTGTTACTGGCAGTACTGTTTCTAAGGGTACCAGCGTACTCACAGGACTGCAGTGCATTACATACATGTCTATGCTGGCAGTGCAAACCTTAGGTTGGTCAACTCAGCTCCTTCAGGGAGATGTTGCTGAAGGTGGCTCTTGGAGCCCGTGCCTGTTTGCACACAGCCGTTGAACAGCTCAGGCTGGAAGGGAACTGGAAAGATCCAACTCTCTGTGGGAGGGAGCCTAGGTGAGGTATCTATCCCGCATGGGGGGCTCTGCCATGTCCCTGAGTTCCAGCGGTTGGTTATTCCGATTGTAAAAAACAATGCATTTTGCCCCTTCTTTTCTCCACTTGACTCTTTGTGAAGAGAGATCCTCCATCCTCTTTGTAGTCACTCTTTTAAGTGCTAGAATACTGTGATGAGCCCCCTGCCCCCCGGCTTTCTCTCTTCCAGGAAGATCAGACCTAACTCCTTCAGTCTTTCCTCACAGGGCAGGTTGACTTGCCCTTTGATCATCTTTGTGGCCCTCTTTCAGACCCTACCCAGTCTGTCAGTGTTTTTCTTGAAATGGGACCAGAACAGGATGCAGCGCTCCAGGTGCAGTCTGACAAGCTCTGAATACAGTGGGATGATCACACCTCTGTCCCTGTTAATAATACCCCTGTAGACGCAGCCCAGAATCTGATTTGTCTTCAATGCTGCAGCACTACACTGCTGATTCTTGTTCAGGACCCCAGATCCCTTTCAGCAAGGCAGCTCCCCAGCCACACAGGTCCCAGCCTGTACTGAGCTCTTTGTTTATGCTGTCCAATGTGCAGGACTTTGAGCTTGTCTTTGTTAAACTTTACACTGTTCTTCCTAGTCCATTCTTCCAGCCTATCCAGGTCTCTCCATATGATAGCTCTCCCTTCTCATGTGTTCACTTCACCATCCAGTTTAGTGTCATCAGCGAACTTGGCAAAGGTGGTTTCAATCCCATCATCCAGGTCACTGTGAAGATGAACAGGGTTCACGACCAGTGTCAATCCCTGGGAAACCTCACTTTTGACAGGCTGCCAGCCTGACTAAAAAGAATTGATCACCACGTTCTGAGTGCAGCCTGTTAGCTCATTTTCTACCCATCTTGCAGACCACCTGTCTGTCTGTATATTGCCAGTGTGTCCAGGAGAAGGCTTCCTCATGGATGGAAGCACAGAAAGATGACTTTCAATGCTGTAAGTGGCTTACAGGATGTTCTAGCTGAATTAGCTTCTGCTGCTGTGGCAGCCAAACCCAGGTGGATGTGGAGTGGAGCCCTGCTGAAAGTAGGTCAATGGAGAATGGGTGTAGGATTGTGCAAGTAATTGATTTTTCAGTTGAGCAGCCAAATAAGAGGGAGGGAAGCAATACAGAAGACAGCCAAAACAAATGTTATTCTTCTTGTTTTGGAGGAGGAACCAAAACCCTACACTTGTATCAAACAAAACATATTGTTCAACCTGAAATGGTACTCGTGAGCTAGAAAAGAAAGCAAATGGTTTGCTGTTTAAATGTTTTCTGTAACCCTGAAACCCATTGGTAAAGGCACTCCTCCGAGAAGAATTAGGAGGAGGTTCAGTTTCCCATTCTGCCTGACATTCTGCATCTGTCAGGTAGCTCATCTAATCATCTGATCTACAAATACGTACACTGGATTTAACTTGCTGTGTTTCTCACCTTCTTGTTTCCTCTTTGGTCTTTGTTTATTAATATATTTGGGTTTTTTTCTATCAGTATTTGTTATACTTATATGTATTTTTCATTTTTAACAAAGAACCATTACAGCTTTGAGAGCATACAATCCACAGGGTTGAAACTGGCCATACATCTGTTGTAGGTTCAAATGCTCAACAAGGAACATGCCATCTGTGAGCATTAAACTTGCTTTTCATAGCACTTGACTTGTAAATACACTACTGATATTTTTGCTATAGACATAAATGCTAACTTGCCAGATGAAGTTTCTAGTAAATTAGTTGTAGTTTGCTAGACCTCTGGGATTTTAGCAGACATTTATACCATACAGTTGCAAATAACAGCCTGAGAAATCACAGAACATACCAGAGTTTTAGTCAGAAAATGGCACTGAAATGCTGCAATAATTACACTTTCTGTAGTAATTAAATTACTCCCCCCCCCCCCCCATGTATTTAAAGTTACTTTTCTGAAAATGAGAAACTGACTGTTTGGCCAAATTCTTATTTAATGAGTGTTCCAAGAAATAGAAAAGTTTGAGCATGCCCCTGTACAGCATAGGGTCTTCAGTGGCACTTGATAGCAGACCCTGTTTTGCTGACTTAACACGGCATTTAATTATTCCACAGTGGATATATGAAGATGTTTTTCATATTTAAGTTGTGACATTGAGGCTTCCACACTAAGGTACTGTGAGGAGCAGTCATTCTCCTGTCTGAGCTTCGTGCATACAAAAGGAGAGAAGGAATATGGAAATCCATGCCACTTATGTAAGTTTAAAACTGAGGATCTGACTCAGCAGAAGGATTTCACTGTTACATTGCCTGTCAGACCTTCTTTTTTTGATGAAAGGTGCTAATACCACCTGAAATAGTCCTTTTCATACAATTTTTATTACCTGGAGCTGATAAACAAAAGTCATGGTTTCAGTCCACTACCATCCAATAAGAAAAGCAATTAGTGTTATTTGCTTACCACTGTGCAGTCAAGTACAACCACATAATTACATAAAGAGGAGAACAATGACATGAAGAAAACTCCCCAAACCCAGCAGAAAGTTAAATGACATAATTACGCACATAGTTTGGAAGTACATGTTGTTACCAGTACAATTTTCTCTCCTCTTCCTTTCCTGCCTTGTGTTTCTTACATCCTTTACAGTAATTTATATTCCATTAAGCTATTAGCTCATTGTAGTGAGGAATGTTTCTTACCATGCTAAGACGTTACACTTCCAGTGCTAAGATCTGTGTATTTAGATACCATGGGAATGCATGTAAAAGCTAGAACGAAAATGGGAAAAAGTTTTAGTTTGCTTGTCCATAAGCGGAAAATAGTTCTCATGAGTTGATCCAGTAATGACATTCACAGTGGGACGTTAACAGAAAGGTGATACCTAAAAATGGCCTGGATATGACTTTCAGATGTGAGGTGAAAGTAGTCCTTCAGCCATCACACATTACTGGGCTGAATGTGTTAGGGGTTATATTACCTAAGACCTGATCTACCCTTTTCAATTGAGTCAACAAGAGGTAACATAAAAATGGGTGAGACCAAAGGTACCAAAGCATCCTCCTGCACTGGAGAGCTGCCAGGAGTGGGTGCATATAGCAACACATAAAAAATGGAATGCACGGAGTGAGCATTCCCAGATATACTTTCCAGTTTTCAGCCACCAGCAGTCTAAGGATCTTCTGAGTCAGACGCTGCTTCCATACCTTTCTATCTAATAGCCTTAAGGTGGCTCTTGCCTAGTTCTTTTTTTCTGCTCCTTTTTTCCACATTTATATTTTTTGCTTTCATAAAGGCTCTCCAATAGCAATCAGTTCTCCCATGTCATTATGTTTTACCCTCAGGTTGCATGTTTTCACATACACATTTTGATGGAAAACAATGCAGGGGAACTTCCCGGGGCTTGAGGAGAACCATAAGTAGACATACAGCTTATGGGGAAAATGTCAGCACATTTCTCAACACATCGACATCAGGGTTGTTGGCCACAGTTCTCTCCCCCGGGTGTGTTGTGTCTGCTGCTGACACAAGCTGTTGCAGCTGAGGCATGCAACTGCAGAAGCCCCAGTTAAGGACTGAAACCAAGACAATGATGTTTTGATGGAAAAGTAATTTCACCACGGGGCAAGATCTGTATAAATGGAGAGCTCTGCACAGCTTCTCTGCCAAAGGGGAAGGCTCTGCTGTTGCAGGGTTTAATTCTGAAGCACTTGCTCAGCCAAAACTCAGTTGTTCTGACCAAGGATGGGGTCTTGACTTGGAGCAACAGCTCCTAGGAAGTTTTCCATTGCTGGAATTTCATGTTCAGGAGTTAAGGCCTCCCTTCCAACAGCACTGATCAGACTGGCTTTCCCACATTGATCATTTCAGCTTATTCCCTTTTACCAAGAACTCAGGATCCCACCAGCAAGTCAGTGGAATCACATTACATGCAGCACATAGCATGCAGGTTGAATATGAAGCGTGGCATGTAGCAGTGTGAAGGAAGGTTACTCTGGTGCTTGTTATCTACAGCTGAAGCATGAATGTGCAGGGGTTTTGTTCCTTTTTTTCTCAACAGCTTAAGAAATGAGTGCTCTGATCACTCTCCCACAGGAAGTTACTGCTACCTCAGC